ATTATGCCTTAYAATMTTCAAGATTYACCARCAGATTCAATCGCATCACAATATATTTAGTTCAAATTTTTAAAATTATAATATAATTAAATATTTAAATGTTATCATTTATAAAATTTCCTTTATTACGTTTCCTTAATTAATATTTATTAATAATTTTCATATTTAATTGAACATATTGTAAATGACCGAAATACCCTTATTGATTAAATTTAATTAAAAAAAATGAAATTTTCCTATTGTTCGAAATTTGTTTACATGGTTTCTTAGAAATGCACGGTTTTCATTTGAACGTGCCCATATATATATATATGAATTTCATTTATTCATATGAGTATATCCATTCATGAATATACACCCATGAACTTCGTTAGTTATTGTACTCCTTTATCCCAAAATAAATGTCTACAATTAAAATGACATATAGTTTTTAAAATGTGTAATTATTACACTTTTGAAATAACTAAAAGACAAATTTACCTTTAATAATAGAGATAAATTTTCTCCGTCTCATCTATACTATATTATAAAACATTTGACAAAAACTCGTAAAAACCATTTTTTATGCGTAAAGTACTGTTTATTAATGCATATTACTTAAAACTCAAGATTACAAGTATATTGTGCGTAAGTACAACTTACTAAACTCCATATCTGAATTCGTGTAACTAACTGTAGATAAACATACTCAAATACATGATAAACATCTCATTTTAAATATAAAAAATCTAAAATATAATTAGGATAATCATTAAAATCTAACAGATTACTTAAGTATTATCTTTATAAAATTTATAATATTAAACCAAAAATAAATTAATTTATTATTAAACTTAAATTAAATTAGAATAAAAAAATAAATTAAAAAAATTACATAAAAAATGGTAACTTTTAAATAATTGATTTGAGATTACTATTGATACTAGAAGCGTACTCGCGCAATGCAGCGAGATACATCGTGATTTTAATATTTCATTTTATTCTTTATCTCAGTCGATGTTATAATATGGCT